TTCTTCCATTGATGCAGTCTGACCAGGAGCAGATTACATCTTGCTGCAACCAGATTTGTTCGAGTCTCACCTGGGTTGCTCAATAGCCGGCACTCCGGTCTGTCAAAGTTTAGGCGTCTTCGGTCCGTTTCTGTTCGTTTCTCCAAAGATGGAGTTGCTGTCAAAGAACCATGATAGTAAGCTTGACCGTTGCTTTTCAAGTCTTAGACGCTGAGAGTCGGCTCCTAAACCCTGGGCATATTACCTAACACTTCTGACGCTGAAGAAAAGTTAAACACATAAGAGATTAAGAATTATACAACAAAATTTCCTAGAACATAATTTAACAAACATACACGATTTCCAAAAAAATACAGGGTTTTAGGTAACTTAGTTTCAGTAGTTTTGGAAGGAGTACTATGAAAATTTTAATTCATGTAAGTAAAATTAAAATAGTGGACGTTGGTGAAGATCGACGATTGGAGTACACATTATGTACTACAGAACAAAAAGAAATTAAATTGACATACAAAAAAAAGAGTTCAAAACTAAAATTAAACTAAAAAAACTTAAGTTCAACTTGAAAGTTACAAATTGATCATTAGTATCTCAATTTTTGAGAATCACTACATCCCAAATTTTACTAGATTAAATTCTACTAGAACTTAATGTGCATTATCTTACCTTTCATTTTAACAATATTTTCATATTTGCACATAGGTTCTTAAAGGTTATCCAAACTTTACTAAACCTATAGTCACTTAAGTTTATCAAATTTGTTTAAATTAAGTTTTTTATATTTATTACTGAAATAAAACTTAAATTTGATACTAACTTAGCTACTTGGACTTGCATGTTTGAGAATGACTTGTCTTGAGCAATGTCAAACTAAAGAATGACTTGTCTTAGTTTAATTTTAGTTCAAAACTAAAATTAAACTAAGAAAACTTAATTTCAACTTGAAATTTCATTAGGGCCTGTTTACTAATAGAGATATTTTTCAATTTTCTGGAAAACAGAAAACAGAAAACGCGTTTACCAAAGAAATTGCTGGAAAACTGAAGAAAGGAAAACAGAGAAATGTGTTTACCAAAATAAAAAAAATGAGACATGTCTTTGTTTTCCTTAATGAATTGGAGAAGTGACTTTTACTAGTTTTCCAAATTTGGAAAATGCAGATGTTGCAGTGCCACTGCAATGAATTTGCATACTTACGCCTAGTGATGGATACGGTCCCGCTCCGATGTTAGTTCTAGTCTGGTCCGGCTAACGACCTGACAGTCCCTATTTGGTTCGGTCAATGACCCGACGATCCGAACCGGTATTGACCCTACGGTCCTTGTCAGTCTGGTCGACGTCCAAGCAATTCGAGCTCGGTCCGGTCTACGACCCGACAGTCCCAGTCCGGTCTGATCGACAACCGGGCAGTCCCGGGCCAGTCCCGTCAATGACCCGACGGTCCTTGTCCAGGCCGGTCAATGACCCGGTGGTTCGATCTTGGTTTTTTGAAATCATTTTTAAAGTGAAGAGTTTTAAAAGAGTCGTTGGATTGTCAACCAATAGGGAAATGAGGAAATAGTTCGCCAAACTAACCATTGAGATCGATCGAGATCAACCACTTTTGATCTCAACTTTCCTATATGTGAGACCTGGTACCTTATTTGGGTTGTACCAGGTTCGGTTCCAGACTGGTACCGTACTTTCGGTTTTCTGGTCCGTCATAAAACCGGATGAAATGATTTTATGAACATATTTTCATATTTGAAAATGGAAAACCAAAAAAAAAAAGAAAACAAAAATTGGAGATAGAAAACAGGAAAATGAAAACACAAAATTTGAGAACGGAAAACAGAAATAGAAAACTGGAAAATATCTCTGTTAGTAAACAGACCCTTTTCTACTTCTGTTTTTCGTTCTCCAATTTTCTGTTTTTATTTTTCAGATTTTCTATCTCCAATTTTCTGTTTCTATTTTTTAGTTTTCCATTTTAAAATCTGAAAACACGTTCATCAATTTTTTCACACAGTTCTCCAATTCTACACCCTTGACCCCTACCTCTACCCTTACCACGATCTTACACTCTACCCATACTCCACCACAACCCTTCATACCCACCCATACCTACTCGTAGGGGTCGGGGTAGGGAAGTTATGGGTGGGGTGGGGTAAGGGGTATGGTCAGGGTGGGGTGGTAAGGTCTAGGGGTTGGGGGTTGGGTGGGGGTAGTGGGTGGGTTAGGGTCGTGGTTAGGGTTAAGGGTGGGGTAGTGGGTAGGGTTGGGGGGTAAGGTAAGGGTAGGGAGTTGGGATAGGATGGCGGTAGGGTGGGGTCAGGACCAGAGTGGGGCCGGGGTAGGGTGGGGGGGTAGGATGGCGGTAAGGGTGGGGGGTAGTGGGAAGGGTTTGGGGTTGGGGTAAGGTAGGGGTAGGGAGTTGAGATAGGATGGTGGTAGGGTGGGGTCGGGACCAGGATGGGGCCGGGGTAGGATGGCAGTAGGGGTAGGATGGCGGTAAGGGTGGGGGTAGTGGGTAGGGTTTGGGGTTGGGGTAAGGTAGGGGTAGGGTAGGGAGTTGAGATAAGATGGCGGTAGGGTGGGCCTGGGATCCGGGTGGGGCCGAGGTAGGGTAGGGTAGGGTGGGGGTGGGGGGTAGGATGGCGGTACGAGGGTGGGGGTAGGATGGCGGTGGGGTGGGGCCGAGGTAGGAGGCATGTGGTAAGGGGTAAGGTAGGGGTAAGTGGTAATATACGAGGGGTGGGGGTAGGGTGGGTCGGGGTGGGTTGAGGTGGTAGGGGTGGCGGTAGGGTAGGGTGGATCGAGGTGGGGTCGAGGTGGTAGGGGGTGGCAGTAGGGTAGGGTGGATCAGGGTGGGGCCGAGGTCGGGGCATGTGGGGGGGGGTGGGGTAAGGTCATTATAGGGAAAAATGGGTACGCGGGATGAGGGTTGGGTGGGTAGGGTAGGGGTAAGGTACGAGGATGGAGGTACCGGAATAAAATCGACATCAGAGCGGGACCGGACCCACCACTAGGTGTAAGTATGCAAATTCATTGCAAAGGCACTGTAGTATCTGCGTTTTCCAAATTTGGAAAACTAGTAAAAGTCACTTCTCCAAATCATTAAGAAAAAGAGAGACATGTTTCATTTTTTCCGTTTTGGAAAACGATTTGGTAAACACGTTTTTCTTTTTTCCTTTCTCCAGTTTTCCAGGAATTTCTTTGGTAAACACGTTTCCTGTTTTCTGTTTTCCAGTTTTCCAGTTTTCTGGAAAACTGGAAAATATTTCTGTTAGTAAACAGGCCCTTAGTATCTCAATTTTTAAGAATCACTACATCCCAAATTTTACTAGATTAAATTCTACTTATAAGAACTTAATGTGCATTATCTTACCATTCATTTTAAAAATATTTTCATATTTGCACATAGGTTCTTAAAGGTTATCCAAACTTTACTAAACCTATAGTCACATAAGTTTATCTAATTTGTTGAAATTAAGAGTTTTTTTATATTTATTACTGAAATAAAACTTAAATTTGATACTAACTTAGCCAGAAATGCTCAGGTCCCTCCCTTCCCTGTCCAGCCGCCGTCCGAACTCCGTAAGATACAAATTGCCCGTTTGGAGGAGCAAAATGGGCTGAAAAGCCTGAATGTACACCAAAAAACGCCAAACACTCCTTCAAGGGGCTTATATTGCTGATTTTTATTATCAGCTCAAAAAGTAGCCCCCAATGCTTACTTTTTGATGAAAATTTTTGAGCATGTTCCTCATCAAGTCTAGTTTGGTCATACCAAATTTCAGCTCAAAATTCGACCAGGAAGGCATTCAAATCATTTTTTGAAGTTGACTGCATTTGTATATGTATATTTTGGCGCAATCAACTTCAAAAAATAATTTGAATGCCTTCCCGGTCGAATTTTGAGTTGAAATTTGGTATGGACAAACTAGACTTGATGATGAACATGCTCAAAAAAGTTCATCAAAAAATTTCACCAGGAACCGCCTTAAACGGCGGAGTTCAGACAGTGGCTTCCATCCCTCCGACTGGACCTGAGCAGTCCTCCTAACTTAGCTACTTGGACTTGCATGTTTGAGAATGACTTGTCTAGTTGTCTTGAGCAATGTCAAACTTAAGATACCAACTTAGCTACATGGACTTGTCTTGAGCAATGTCAAACATACTAACTTATACGGATGTTTTTACTGAAGTTTGGATAAACTTATCTTAATTTTAAAATAAATAAAATTATTTTAAATGGTCTAATTTACCCTTGTAACAATACGAATGTTTTACTTGACCTCTAATCTGTCCCAGACTAGACCAGATCAGACTAGTCATGGACCCGGGCCGGGCCGGTTCCGGTTCCGGGCCGGGCCCGGCCGGGCTTTTTTTTTTGGGAAGGAAAGCCCGGGACCGGCCCGGGTAGCCACCGGGTCCGGGCCGGGCCGGGCCTCCGGTTCGGTCATAATTTTTTTTTTTTTTTTTTTTTTTTGCATTCCTACCCCCCCCCCCCCACTCACCCCTCCACCCCCCAAACCCCCAAACCCCTCCTAACCATCAAGCCCAACCCGGCTAACCCCAAAAAATGAAAAAAAAATAATAAAAAAAATCAATTCGGCCCGGGCCCGACCCGGCCGGGCCGGTTCGCCAAATACAAGGCCCGGACCCGGACCCCCCACCGGGCCTAGGCCCGACCCGGACCCGGACCCGAGAACCGGGCTGGTTCCGGGCCCGCACAGTGGCGGGCCGGGCGGCCCGAACCGGGTCCATGCCTAGATCAGACTAGACCAAACTTCGGAAAAATAAACTTGTCTATTTATTTTAGACAAGTTTATCCAAACTTCAGTAAAAACATCCGTATTTACCAATCAAATGTGATCCCTTCACCTCGTAGTCTTGTATCGGTTTCAGTCTGGAACTTTAATTTTTACTCTCTATTTCGAATCAAGAACCGATCAGTCCCATTCCGATCAGGGGACCTTATCCAATATCCACCCTTGATGATGATGATAACAAAACACTAACGACAACAATGATATCAACAAAATAACAACAATAGAACAATGATATAATATATAATAATAATGATGATGATAATATACAGACATGTTACAGGACTGCTATCAAACCCGAAATAGAAAAGGGGACATTGTTCAGCTACAAATTTCAAGAGTATCTATATAGGATAGGTGCAAAGGACTAGGAAGCAGAATTCCATGTCAGCTCAATTTGAATCTTCCCATTCCTTGAATCAATGAGATGGTACTTCTCGTTGATCCTCCTGTTGCTAACCACATCGGAAAGGTTGATATCAACATAACCCAACATTTCCTGAATAACAAAACCAAAAATTTGTCATTCCCTTTGTGCAGAGAGGGAAAAAAATACATAAGGAAGATCATCTTTACTAGTCTGAGTCCATCACTAGTGTAACATTGTATTCCTTAAGTTCAGAATAAGAATGCAAAGAATAAATACCACACTCACCTTATGATGCATAATACTAGTCTTCGAAGTACTGACAACTTGTACATGTAGCTTTTCATCCAGAGGAGGCTTCTCCAACATAAAAGTAAACTCCTCCTCCCATCTTGGATCAGTGTTTTTCTTCAGTTGCTGAAAACACAAATGCGGCATTAATTTACCTGAATGTTGTTTATTCAAAACAGCCAACTAGAAAGGTAAATTTTATCATACAACAATTAGGCCTACATTACTATATGGCGTAGAGTTTTGGGCGTTGAATCAATGCCACATTCAGAAGATGAGTGTGACAGAGATGCACATGCTGCGTTGGATGTGTGGACATACTAGAAAAAAACGTTTGACGAATGAGACAAGATGAGAGTAGCACATATTCAAGATAAGATGCATGAGTCTCGATTGCAGTGGTTTAGTCATGTGTATAGAAGACTAAGTGATGCACATGTTAGACGAGATGAAAAGTATAGAGAAGAAACGGGGAGAAGGAGAGGAAGACCCAAACAAACGTGAATTAGAGGAGTCATGAGTGACATGTTTCTTCTTCGGTTGGATGAGAGAATGGATTTAGAGAGAGCAGATTGGTCCCTTATCATCTTTATTATCCTTTTATCTTCATTATCTTTCTTAAATTCTTTGTCCCTTTATCCTTTTTAATTATACATATTCTTTTTATCTTTTGTATCTTATGTTTTTTATTTTTATCTAATATTTATCATTACTCTTATCTTATACTACCCCTGTCTCATTAGAAGGTTCTCGTCCACTATTCACATGGTCAACTTAAATCATTTTTAATCTTTTACTTTATATGCCAAATTTTTATCAAATTTATATTTTTATCAGGCTTTATAGCGGTTTTTATGTAGTTTCTGAATATGTAAATTTTATTTACTAAAAATAATCAGAGCGTGAACAGGGATTAAGTTGCTTTATCGTCAGTCAAGCATCGTAAACCATTCACGGGAACCTTCTAGCGGGACGGAGGGAGTATTCTTTTATCTTTTTATCATACCATATCCTTTTACCTTTATTTTTCCTTTTGGCTCCGATATCATGCATCAATTCATGTTAGCGACCTCAAAATCTCCTGGGGTTAAGGCTTGGATGTTGATGTTGGACGTTGTTTTATTCAAAACAGTGGAAAGGACCTATGACTCCTCTTATGAGGTCAGAGAGGAAACTATTTCGCAATTGGAGGGCAGAAATGTGGGAAAAGCAGGCATGTACCTTGGTCTTTTTCTCCTCCCCTTTAAAAATGATCTGAACATATGGGTGAGTATGGTGCTTTCCCTCAATATCTTCTGCTCCGTGGATTAACACGGAGAGAACACCACCTCCTGGTGGGGTTCCTTCTGGCATTTTACCAAATTTACCAGACTTCGAAGAATCTTCTGGCCCTTCCTCCTCTTTGAAAGGTTTGTATGTTAGTTCCACTGTGATTTGCCCGCGTGACTTGTTGTTCTGAGGATCATTTGGATCCATGGTCTTTAGGAGATCAAGTGTCATGGTTTTTTTGTCGTCAGGAGTTAGATCCTTGACTGGGACAACATTCATGCCCATCTTTTCGTGTTTCCCGACCTGAGAAAAGAACAAACACAATTAGACCGTCTGGAACTCAGGAAATACTAGGGAAGGAGATATTTGAGAGAATAACATAAAGGAAAATGGGAGGAAATTAAATTTGGATGATAATTAAATATAGGCTCAAACTCAATGAATGTATCTTAGACTCTTAGTCATTTGTTCAAACTCATTTTACAAAGGAAAGATTCAATAGTTAAGACAAAAACATAACACACTTCTTTAAATAGGACAATCATCGGGTTTTTCTGAAAATACTAAAATATGACTCGTTCACCACTAAAATGAGAATTATTAACTATTTTATTCTTTCAAGGACTGAATGATTCCAACTTTTTGGCACATATCAGGAAACTCCTATTTATGCACATTATTCATGTTTTACCCCTGTTTCTGATTTCCTTTTACTCATATTTTACTTCGCAGTAATTTCTTTTTACTAATTTATTTATAAGATATAAAAACTAAGAAATCTAAGTATATATAAACATGAAATTAAACATTTTCATTTTCCTTTGCTTTTGCAGGAGAAATCCAAACACACACACACACAAATCTTTTAGCATTTTCCTTCATGTCCCTAGCATTTTCCATTATCCAAACATCACCCCGAATGAATGAGTGAAAACCTCACCTTCTCCCAATCATAAACATATATCTCCAGTTCTTGAGATTCTGGGTCTTTCACAACCATGCTAAACTCCTCATCCCATACTGGGTTTAAATTTTTATGTTTCACAGTAGTCTTCTTTGAAGGGAGTTTTGACTCTGTGAGCTTGAGTTTGACATACGGGTCAGATGCTCCAAGTAGATCTTTCTTTTTCAGTTGGGTTGCTCCACAAATCTTCACATGAAGAATACCAACGGGACGTTTCATTGCTCTACACATCCCATGAGTTGCTTAACACATTTAGTGATTGACCAAACTAAAACCATAAAACTCAGTTGCAAAAATACAAAATCGGAAACATACTTTGAGGGGTCCAAAATTTCCACTTCCAGAGTTTTAGGCCACAGATACATGTTACCAACCTGATCTTTAATCATCTCCTGCAGATGATCCTCTTGTACATTTTAGTTGCTACTCATAAAGAGAAAATGGCATAATGCACTTTGCGATGGACATTACTTCAACCAAGTGAAAGTCACACAAATGAAATCTCATATGCGCCCAACTATTTCAAGAGAAGCAATGGACTATATTTCTTTCACAAAATGGAAGAGATATTAAGGAAGATGATAATACACATAAGAAGCTGTTGAAGGTACCAAATCAAGTAATCAAATCATCATAATGGCCCAGTGTCAGGTTATACCCTTCCCATTCAATTAAAAAAAGAAAAGGTTATACCCCTCCCATCAGATTAAACAAGAAAATGTTATAATGCCAACTTGAACAAAAAACACATACTGATTTTTCATAAATAATCAAGTTGTCTGCAATTATAAACTCCATAGTGCATACCTGCAAATGTACTCATTTATGTTTTCTATTTCAGAATACTGCCTTTGAGGTTATGGAAAAAATAAGTTGAGAACTTGATCCTTCGCTTGAGAGGATGGAGAAGGGGGAGACAGAGACTTAAAATAGAAGGCGATATACCTGGATAAACCTGTACAGGCCAGGAATTGACATGAGATCAGCACCTAGAATCTTCAACCCAAAGTCAACATGTGGCTACAAAAGCCAAAAACAGATCTTAAAATAATAATGAAAAAAATGACCTCTAAATGTACAATATTCTAAAAGATTAGTGAATAATGAAATATAGTAAGCCAAAAATGCTAAAAACACGACTGTACAGTAATTTTGATTTTTTTGTGTGATGTTAAATATTATATTTCTATCATTCTCAATTATCCGCATATTAGAAGACTAATATACCATTTGTGGGACAGCAGGCAAGTACACAGATCGTAAATATTAAAAATTGGAAGCACAAATCAGTATGGCTTAACACACTGTCAAAATAGTCAAGAGTATTTATAGATTCAGATTAGGGAAAATAAAACTCATGTTAGGAACAGTAGAATGGTAGAAGTGTTGGGAACTAATTACACAGTACTACTTCAAAAAATTAAAGAGGGGTTTTAATTTCCATAATGTGTGCCCCTAAATTTATTTGAGTCCCCTGCAATGTGTGTGTGTGTGTGTGTGTGACCTTATGTTTGAAACACGCATTCATTTTCTCCATACAATTATATAAACACTGGTGTAGCTGGGGAGGGCCGTGCTGTATCGGGGCCCGTACCAAGTTCAGTAAAAACGTTTTATTTCATGTGCAAAAACAAATTATAAAAAAGTATATAAATGAATTCTTTTATCCGGACCACCGAACATTTCCTCTAGGCTACCTGTAGATAGATTGAAATACGTATGTAGTAGTGTTTTTTTCTTCTGATTTGTTTAACTTTGAATACCTACCACCAATATAAACTTCTATTGTCTAGGAGCATAATGTCATGACAAGCAGCACAGACCAAGTGTCAGTCGGGACTCGGGATTACTAAATGTTTTCATTCTTATATACATTTTATCTATACACATCAAATTCAAGTTGTTACCTTATCCATAAGTGACACGATTATTTTGCAGAAACATGGAAAGCTTGGGACCAAAGGTTTCAGGGTAATGCGTGGTGCTGCAAAGATCTGAAAATCTACAAGCTGAAAAATCCAGTAATAGGTTAGTTGTTTATCAAGACTTAGCAAAGAATCAAGCATTCGTATTCATGACGATTGCAAAACCTGGGCAGTTGCTTTTAATCCAAACGATTGAACAAGTAAAGTAATATTAGGATTCCCTGCCCATTTGAATGATGGCTCCAAGATTAACTCTTTTTCATCAGTAAGATAAACCTTCATACCTGGAAAGGAAGGGAACCGTAAGTATTTAGAGATTGAAGTTTACTTATATTACAAGAGAAAACTGAATGCCTAAACTTCCTATGTTATAAACATATGCCACTGGAAAAATAAATAATGTACTGGGGTGATAGAAATAGGATATCATCATTCAATATGTACCGAGGAGGCGATGACTTTGAATAAATACAGTAAGATTTCTTGTTCATTTTTATTTCCAGACTTCAGTTAGAAGAAAATCAATTCAGAAAACGATTAATCATTCAGCAAACCTTGCAGAGTTGGTGGCAGAGACCCAAGAGTCAGTGTTTCAAATTCTACAGAGTCAATTTTATACTTCGGAATTTGCTCCTCAATGATTGGTTTAGCAATGGTCTTGGCAGTCCTACATATGGCCTGCCAAAGGGAGAGAGCAAAGAGTGGATAATATGTTCTTTCTAACCCAAGATTTTCATCATAGACGAAAAAATACAATTACCTTGTCCAAATAAGGCCACATGTACCCCAGAAACTCGTTGATCCAGTCAACCTTATATTATGGGAGAGGGAGGTGAATTAGGCTCTAAAGAATGCACTGAACTGCATGCATATCCAAGGTTAAAAAATACATACTCGGTCATAATCTGGATTTTTAACCCAAAGAGGGATTTCTGAAAGCAATTTTTGCAAAGCCTCGGTGTCTCGCTCAACCAACGGGCGGATAACAGGATCCTGATCATGTTCAAACTCCATTTGTCATTCATCTTAAGAAGGAAACTTATTCACTTGACCACATACTCATAAATAATCAGTATCAACTACCAACTAAAGTGAGCCTAATATCTTAACCAGAATGCATACCAGCTACATACACTACAAGTTCACATCACATTAAATATTCATTCCCTAGTATTCTTGTATAGGATGCCTCCAAAAGGGCTTTCTGTGGCGCATTTTACAATTTAAATACAAGCCTTTCATCCCCTTAAATATATATATCGGATAGTTTGAAAGTCTAAAAGGTTAAATGTCTTATTACCTAATTCAACATAATTTCTACATTGTACTTCTTAAAGGGAAAAATACTTTAAAAATACTCTCTATATCCCTAATTTGACTTCATATTCTCCTTTTTCACCCATCTCAGAATTATCACTTTTTCCTGCTTGTTTTTATTTCTCCCTTTTAACAAATTTCAACCACGATTTCAATTTCCTTATAAACGTGAAAAGTAAAAAGAGGAGATTAAGGACTACCAACTATTCACTAAAGTCTAAAAAATATCCTAGTTCTGATATAAACAATTCCATAAGAAATTATACCGCCGGCTATGTGATTAAAAATAGATCTTACCTGAGAATAAGTAGTATGGCTGTAATTTCTAGAGTTGGTTTTTTAAAAGAAAGAATTTTCAAAGTTGGATTATCTTCTATTTTTAGGTATTCTGGCAGCCCCTTCACAAACGGTGAAATTGCACACTAGGAACTCAAAGGTGGCAAGAGGACGACAACAAAAAAATCAGGTAAAAGAAACTTCTTACCTTCTGAGCTTTACCATTGCTAAGAATAGGTATTGAAGGAAAAAAAGTACCTTCACATCGTTGGGCAGAAAATAGATGAAGATATAGTACCCAATCGTCAGCCCTGCCGTCAGCCCAACTCCAAATCCACAAACGCCGGTGATCGTACTGAAGAACCCCATTTCTGCGTCCCTACGATTAACTGCAAGGAAATCCCAGCAACCTTAAACTAGACTCAACTTGTCAATAGCTGAACTTGTCAGGAGTAACTTGAATAAAAGCTCAGAGATACAAGGTTCGAAGTTTTCCATATTCCCAAGTGTCCTTGATTCTCCTCCCCACGAGACCGCGCGTGAGGAAAAAGTATTTTGATTTATAAATGTAATACTTACCGTAATAAACAATTCACTTTACTTTTCGGGCTAAATTGGGCGAAGTTATGGTAGAAAATAACTTTAGCTATTTTTATACTTTTTTATTTTATTAATCAAATATATTTTAAATATAATTTTTATATAATTAACAGTTTCAACCAATTCAACCGTTTCAGTCAGATTTTCATTAGTTTCAGCAGATTCAGTTGATTCAATCAATTTCAGTGTTAACAAATGCGCTTACAACCAATAATGTTTTATCGAAAAATGTTGAATGTTATTATGACATTCTAAGTGTAACTGTGAATAATGTATGTGCTATTTTACTATTAGTATGTTTGCAATGAAAATTACATCTTATCAAAATATCAGAGATGAATTTCAGATAAATAAGCTCTTATGCTTTATTGTTAATTTATAATTAACATGTAAATAAAAACAATGACAAGAGTTGACGTTGATAATTTGATATATGAATTAAAATTTCTATGAAAGCATCATATCATAAGATATGTATGTCGATAACTACTTTTTCATCTTTGAATACAGCAAGAGGAAATGGCTTAGACTCAACACTTTTAATGGATACATTCTTAACACATCTATATGTATCAAGTATCATCACTTGATTGTTAAAGGAAAATAAGTATATAAAAGTTTGAGATTTGTTTTTTGGTTTTAGCTTTTAATATATCTTTTATTTAAGAATTACAATGACTTATATTCACAAATTATTACATTTGGATTTATTTAGTTTTACACAGAGTGTATATATATCTTACTTCCCTAATGATTTGAGTCTAATCCTTGTCAGGTGACTTGTACTAAATCTATTTTTATGTTTAATCTTCAAACAACCCATTAAGTATAGTATTTCTATAATATAGAACCTCAATAAGATTGTGAATTGCAATTAATGGTTAAGCTTGTAAAACTCAACCAAATAAGGATTTCAATGAGCAGATAAAAAGGAGGTAGTGAGTAAGGTCAAGGTAAGCATTTTTGTTTTTACTACCTTTAAGCACCTTCTGTTTGTTGGTATTAAAGATAATCTTCTTAACATGAATCGGCTATGTGATGATGGTCACAAAGTTGTATTTGATTCCAATGTAGGGACAGTAACAATGTGATACTTGTTGCTACTATTACTTGTTTAGCTTTGTACATGAAGACGCTTCTTATGCGGCATAGAAGATCAGGACATGCTAGTTTTTAACTTCTTTTTAAATTGTCTTCTAGATATTCCGTCATTGGACTACTTTCCTTGAATATGATGCATTAAATACTTTTGCTAAGTTGTGCAAGAGGATTTCTTATGAAGGGTATACAATCACTGGATTAAGGAGTGATAGGGGAGGAAAGTTTACAAATTGAGAATGCTCAAAAACTCACAAAAAGAAATAAATTACTGACATCCACAATTAATCAAGATCAATCGGGATATTGATTATTTGAAGCACAATGTAACCCAAAAGGTCACAAAAGGACTAAACAAGTACTTAAGATTATATAAATTTAGTTTTATCACTCTTTGACACAGCTCACAGCCTCACATATACATCATTCATATACAAATAGCACCAGAGAAAATGGGAGAGAATTGGCAGCCGCCACGAAGGACCAAGAAAGGGTGAGGCAAGGAGATATGCAACAAAATTAAGCGAATTTGTGTGAGACTAACAATGAAGATGGACAGAGATATGACCTATATTCGAGGAGAAAGAATGGAGAAGTTGGATAGGGAGAAAGAAAGTAGAGGAGTAAAGAAGTTTAGTATTGAAGTGTTAGGGTAAGATAGACTTTTCACATTTTGTGCTCCTAAAAGAATGATTCAAAGGCACTCCTATTGGTTGAATACCAAAACCTAATACTCCTAGATTAGGCAATTTCTCTTTAACTAATGGTGTTGGTTTGCAAGATTGTTTCAACTTTGGTTGTCTCTGGGGTTTCTTAAACCATTAGTTTTAGGTTGAATACCAAAACCTAATACTCCTAGATTAGGCAATTTCTCTTTAACTAATGGTGTTGGTTTGCAAGATTGTTTCAACTTTGGTTGTCTCTGGGGTTTCTTAAACCATTAGTTTTAGAACGTTGTATGTGATTTTGTTAATTAGTCGTGTGATTGGGTAAATAACTTACGGAAAACTTGACTTGTACAAATAATTTGGTATGAGCGTTTGGCCTTTAGCTATTTTATGTGTTGGGAGGGACTAATCTTTGCATTTCACACTTTTTAAACAAAATTTGTGTTTGAAAAATGCATTCTTTAGAGTATCATGAATTACGTTACACACTTACCCATTGTCCAAAGGAAACCACAAAAAAAGGGCTTGTGATTAATTTATTTATTTGTAACTTTTGTAGTTTTGTGCCAATTCATGACGCCTTCACGACATCTCACGACAATAGACTAATCGGAAGCCGGCCACCAGCATTGTATAACTAATCTCAATTTCAAATTAAACGTCAAAAACTAAGATCTCATTTATACGTGGGAAGAGTGAAATCCTTATTATTACTATTGTTATACGTATAATGTAAAGCAGATGTCATTAGATCACACCAGTCATGGAATGAGGTGACTGTAGAGTTGCAAATGCACAGTTCTTGGTGTTACAAATACAACTTGAGAAACTAACTGACTACTGTATATGGGTTTTCTTTAAAGATTGCTGTGAGCTTCCCAGATAGTAGTTCCATCACAAGTGCAAAGTTTCTTGTAGTTTTCACCAACACCAGCACTTCTAGCTATCACTGCTGCTTTCATCCCTCCATCTGACTTGTCCTCCCTCTCATACACAACTATTGCTCTCCCAATCAGATCACCTATTCTCAGCTTTTCTTTAACACCGGAATAGAATGCCTCACCCTTCTCATTGGCATCCAGTGTTCCCAGATCACCAAGTGCCTGACAAAGTGAAAAGTTTATTCGCATGCATTATTTTAACAGGTTGTGAAAAATGTAACTAGAGAGGAAGATAGTCACACAAATAACGTTTATCAAACTGGCTTTGTATGCCAGACTCAACACAAAATTAGTAATGTGTGTTACACTGTTACTATAAGTTATAATGACAGTATTTGATCAATGATGTTTTCACTGAGCTGTTTCGGGATGAGGCTTAAATAGACCATGCAAGAAAAGACTTAAAAGAACAGAACAGAACAAAAGCAGATAATTACAGAATGTGCATACTATCAGCTAATACCAACTTTAAATCAGATCAATTTAGATCCCACTAAACTACAATAATCCAGGCAGTAATAGACCTGAAAGTTTAAGTCCAACTGAAAACACTTCAAAGGATTCATCATATTTTGTGGGTATACCAATCACACAACAACACACCTATGATGTGCACTTAATCATGGATTTAGGAGAGATTTTCCAGTGATTTTGTTATGGTTCACTCAAAGTTTATTTATGCACAAGATATATAAAAGAGGCAAAAAATTGTATTTTACTAGTAATAAATATTGACAGTAACAAATTGTAAGACAATGGTTACTATGACATATGATATGCTTATAGTAATTATATCACTCCTCTCCATTATCACTATAGTAGTTACTTAATGACTATATTTCGAATCTGTAAAAGATGAGTATATTTCAAAAATAGCCAACCAATAATCTAAACTTTTGTTAAATTTTATGGACCTCAAAATCTCAAATCCTCAAGGTCTCTAAACACTCGCATTAGAACATTTTTAGGGCTCCACTTTGGGCCTGATCAAATCCGACCCATACCCAGCCTACCTCTTTCCCAGTGTCGGCAGTCTTACTGTATATTCCACCGGTGCTGGCTGCACCGCGTGTCAGATCACCATATTGATTGATTGACCAGCCATGTCTACTCCCAGGTGATAGCCCAGTGAAGTTAGCCTCGATCCTGGCCAGTTCCATATTCACTTGGGCAAGGCGAACCACACCAAATATATGAGGCCCCTTGAATTCGGCCACAGCAGCAGATACAAGGAAATCTTCGGGATTGCCTTGTCCAATTAGCCGAGCATTTCGACCGGTCTGTGCCAAAGCTTCAGTCAGAGTCTTCACAGGCAAAGAACCGAAAACTTTTACCACTTGATTATTGAGATCAACATCCACGCTTTTAACACCTTCGATAGCCTGCAATTTACTCTTGACTGACTTCACACACCCTTCACATGACATTTCCACCATAAACTCTGTCTGTATAGATACAGCCATCCGGTGAATTGGCGGCCGATTCCGGACGGGAGGCTTTAGGAAGACCTGGGATCTTTCTACGAGCGTTCTTCTGTTTGAAAACGTCTGATTAACTCTACTGATTTGGGGAGCCAACGTTGATGGATTCGTGAGCATTTTAGGGGTCGGAGATTTAAGCCAGGTCTAGGAAGTAAGAACTATTGACCAAAGGAAGAGTCTAGACTCTAGTTGAGAGGTAAAATCCTAAAAAGTTTTCGCATTGAACATAACCTTTCCAATATGGTTTAAAGTGATCAAATTTACTTTGTTTTAATGGAGTCATTATAAATCAAATATTCAAATCATAATATTAATGATAAAAAAAATCATAATATTAGATTATGGGAAAAAGTATCTGTAAGGAATAAATATAATTAGATTTTGATGATGCTATAGGATTAGAAAGTTAGGTTACCCCCAAATTAGATTTTGTGTATTAGAATTTTTCAATTGTAAGTATTAGTGTAGTCGACGATCAGAGTTGCTCTATTTTGGATCAGATCAGAAGTGCGTCAGGACTGCTCGACCAGACTTGCTCTATGAGAACTGCTCCATCAGAGTTCTCTTAGCAGAAGTCCATCAGAGTTGCACCATGAGAGTTGCTGATAAACTTGGACATCTGATAACCGATGAAGAACTACAAATCAAAGGTACTCATCAGCGGACATATCAGAGTCAGAGTTAGAGCTCTATCCGAGATCAGAAAGCCATCAGAACTCAACTCATCAGAAAGCCTTCAGAATCCAACACATCAGA